ATGTAATTATCAATATTTTTGTTTTTTATAATGCGTTGAACTGCTTGAACATTGGGTTGGTGGTGGAAGGGAAAGATGCAGTTTCCGAGATAAATAAAATGAAATGAAATAAAGAGGCACTGTTTTATTATAGTAAAAACTTCACTGTTTTTGAATGAGTAGGTTTTCTTGCTGCAATTGAGAGCCCATTCATGCAAACCATTTCCTTCACAGAGCTAATATTTTCCAGCTATCATAGCTGGCTAATTCAGGAGTTACTTTTAAACTGGCATTTCAATTGCAAGAATTCCCTCTTCTTCTATCCATTGGGAAAAAAAACAAGTATTATTATCCAAATATGAAACATGAGGATCTGTCCTCTAGAATTAGAAAAATCAAACTGATAATAAGCTCTGTGTATTTAAACTACGAGCGTCACTGAAGTTCGCCATTATATGAATTTTTCCCAGCTTGTGGTGCTTGGCTACTAAAAATCAAGCTGCACTCTCCCAATAAATTCTTCTCCAGTTCAGAATGCTGGGTGAGATTCTGCAGCTCTTCTGTTAACCTTCAGTAGATTATCTGAATCTACCAAGGTGCATGCACAGAAAAGCACACTTAACAGACATGAATACTATATACCACAGGATTGTTCATATCATAGTCAGCAAAGAGATTGATTCTACTCTGAATCCATGCATAGATTAAGGTGCGTTGATCAATGATTTTATACAGACGTACTCTACAAAGCATCAAATTAAAAACTCAGAAAAGTTGCTCCAACCTTCATCTACTTCTTTCCTGTTGTTCAACTCGAAGCATGAAGGCTTTACCAGTTGTGTTAAATATTTGCATGTCTAGAACTCCTGATAAGCTTAATAAAGAAGCTCATTTGTCTGAATTAAGCAAAACAGGGTATAAAAGTGTCCTGCACAGGTTCAGATGTATGCAGTTTTTCATTTGCTTAATTATTCCCAGATAGGTGATTGGGCTTTATTAATATTACACCTCTAATACAATGCAAATGTTCTGTTCTGTCTGTCTGACTATAATTATTTCAAGACAATCCCTAGCATTATTGCAAAGCAGGTGTAAAGGGGGGGAGGGAATGCACACATACAAATGTGCTACCTGATATTGTGGTACACTGTATATTCAAAGAGGTTTCTACACTGACATTGCCAGACAATTGGCAAACATGATAATTTTCCTATCAACAAGGAACAATGAAGGGTATTTTTATAATGGATTTTTAAATCTATGAATTTTAAAACATGATTGTGATAATTTAAGCCAAAATGGTATTCTAAGCTTAGTTCCATTAATTGACTGTATCACAGTGTGTACATAGATTTGGACTGGATCTACGTAATAGTGGGTGTACTACCTAAGTGAACTTGATTTGACTGGCAAGTGATTCTAAGATGGCTACATCACTTCTTCCACTCTCTGAAATGTAGCACGTCAGGCTTATAGGAGCTATTCACCTGCGCTGAGAGCCATGCATGCACCACTCATTTCACCGTTACCCCATGTAAGCTGATGTGTGCCAAAGTTCCAAACCTTGCATACATCAGCTATGTTCTGCTTTATCCCAGGCAATGCTGAAACTGAGTGTGGTTCCAAAGCTTCCAGCTACAAAAAGCCAGCAATCTTTTGAGGCTTTGAAAAAGATAATCTGTTAATACCTTGGCAATAAAGGAAGAAAAGTATACTGAAGGAGAATGCAGTAAAGGCTAGACAATCACTACCTAACTGGTCATTTGCATACTTCAATCATACTGATCACTCATATTTTCATTTTTGCCATATTTTCAATTTTTTTTTAAAAAAAGTGTTCTTAAGGCAAGGTGGCTTTGTTCACCATCACATAACCCTGAGATTCTTATGACCAGCATTTTTAGAGTCGTCATGCTTTCACCGCCACCATGTTCTCACCAAGCTGCCATATACACGTACAACACGAGCAACCCATCACAAGTTGTGTTTAGTTTATAATCCAGCTTTCTGGTCTGTGCATAATGAAGTAACTAAAAGTTTTCTAGGTTAAGATCAGGCAAAAATTATTGACTTCCAAGACAACTGCTCACAGACCAAAAATAAAAAAATAGATAAATAAATAAAAAAATAGCTATCAAAAAAGGAACACAGGAAACAAAAGCTCTGCATGGAATTACGCCTATAAATTCAGTATTTACCTGCAAATGATTGAATTTATTTTCCTAAGTTAATGGTTCCAAGGTGAGAAGAGTAGATTTCTTTATTTTTAATATTATATTATAAGGATTCTCCAACAAAGCTGGGATTAAAACCTTAAACAGGGCTTTTCTAAGCAAAAAGTGTTAACACCATGACGGCAACATTGTAAGAATTCTAGCAGAGGATATGACAAATTGGGCTTAGTGCACTGATGAAAGGACGAAACCTACATCTCCCCATGCCCTGAAACCCCATACAGGATGGAAGCAGAATTTTACAAGTCTGGCGGTATCTGCAAGATCTCAGTCTTCAACCTCTAGAACAAGCGACTCCATATTGAATGAGGTACATTTCCCCTTCTGTCGGCACTAAATTCAGGTTTTACACCTGCTAAAGCCAAAGAAACATCTCAGTTCTGCCCTGGGTAGAAACACTTGAATAATTGGCATAACAGACTGCATCATATGACCCATGATCTCCAGCATGGTCTTCACAAAACATCTCCAACAACTTGGACCATCGTTTCTGTGTGCTCCTCCACCCCCTTCCTTTCTCTGCACCATCATCACAAGCCCTGCAATACTGTAGGTTGACTTGCCATTTATTCTAGGCCCAGCTAGGTACAATAAGCAAGAAAAGAGACAGACAGAAACGAGCAGGTGGAGTGCAAGGAACAGAAACAAGGAGGGAAAGGGCAGCAGAATTATTAAACAGTAATCAGATATTTTCCCCCAAATATAAACCTAACCTCTGCTGTATATTAAAAATGCACAAGAGTTCACAGAGAAATACACAAATGGAAAGAAAATACAGCATGGCAATGAAAAAAAAATTAAGCCCCAACTTTCCCTAAGTAAGACGCAAGTACAGCATCTGACGCCTCAAGGAAATACGATGGGGGTGGGGGGGGGAGAGTGTTAAAGGAGGAAGGGAGGCAAACCTCCAAATCCCTGTCACGCAGAAAGGTCCCCCTGCCCTTCGCTGCCCCAGTCACAGCCTGGAACACCTCCCTGATCTCATCCATACTATTTTCCCCCTCCA